GAGGATAAATATATAAAGTTAAGGCTTTGATATATATCATTTGTGATTTAAGTCTCTACTTGGGTTATTTCTCAGATTGATTTATCTCTTTCGATTCGGAAAATAGATCTCTAAGAATAGAAAAGAAAATAGAACAGCGTTTTCCCACTCACGCCCCCACGCCAAATCAGTGCCCGATCGAAAAGACCTTCCCCTATGTGATTTATTTAAACAGGTGATTGGTGGTTTTCCGACTACACTGCTAATTGGCCTTTTAAATCACTACTTTTTGATGAATCACACTTAATCATTCATGTATTAAGTATACTAATACATACAATTAATAGCGGTGGTATTAGTGCCCCTTTTTGAAATTTTATGTTGTTTTTTTTTCATTTCTGTGCTACAACAATTTTTCTAATTTTTCCCAGAGTTCAAACCGTTCACTAAGATTAGTATTTCAAGTTAGTTATCTGATACCTTCGATAAGCTCAGCAGCATGTATAGGAACTTGCACATACTAACGCCATGAAAGGAATATTTATTTAAAAATGCATGGTACATTCGTTACATGTTTTAAATATTTCGTAAAATTGACTGTACTATGTCTTATAAAATTAAAATTTAACTTCTTATACACAACCAAAGAATATCGTAGTTGTATTACAAAAATTCATAAAATAATATTTTAATGAATTTGAGATAATCGAATTTGAAGTTATAACTAAGATCCATATAAACAATACACTCTGCCATCCAACCCTACTGTACTGTAGTGAGAGCTGGGTCCTTCTAGATATGCCCTAAAAGTAGATTTACCTCTACCAAAATGAAATATCTGAGAAGAGTAGCTGGCCGAATCAGAAGAGATTCCATCCGAAACGAACGGATTAGAGAAAAAGTTAAGGTGCCACCAATGCTGAAAACCGTGGAAAAGAAAACGCTCAAATGGTTCGGCCATGTTATGAGGATGGACGAGGACAGGGAATCACAAAAAAAATTTTCAGGCAAGACCCACAGAAAAGAGGCCAAGTGGACATCCGCGGAAAACTTGGCTTGACGAATTGACCAAGCTCGGACAAAAAAGAGGCGAGAAGTTGGGTTATATAAGAAACCTGGTGAATGAGCGTGATGACTGGCGTAAATGGGTGGAGGTTCCTCCACGCTGAAAGGCACTAAGGAGGAAGACAAAGAAGAAGAAGAATTTTAAGTTTCTGATTCCTTAAAAAAAAACACTAAAATTGATTGTACACTGCCCATGGATATTGAGATAACCAGATTTACAACTCAGTTGTAGTGATTCGATAAATGAGGGGGTATGGGATTCTAATGATGACCAGTTTTTTTTTCAACTGGAAGGGCTTTTTCTTCAAGGACACTGGTTAATAGGCATTGGAAAACGAAGGAGGCAAGGCTTCAGTTAATGAGAATAGTTAGGGATGATAACTGAACATGTAGATAAAATGAGTTATGAATATCAGTTTTTTTTCCGTGATTTGATCTATATCCTTGCTAGGCTAAAAAGAGGTTATAATGTAGACTAGGATCAGCATTGCTTGTAAACCCTTGCTAAGGCATCGGATATTTCATTGCTTCCTGTTGCGTAATTAACTCTTTTACTTTGAGGAGGCTTAGTGATCTTAACTAATTGCTCTAGGACACTAGATCCCTCTTAGACTGTCGGCGGTTAGGTTCTATGATAGAATTAAATTATTAATTTGATTTGGACTTGATTTTTTAAAAACATTTATTTGTATATTTATGCATACTATTAATATTTGATAACCTCGTGATACCTTTTTTTTTAATTGACGTATTTTAGTACTATGTAGTTGCATCCTTTATTGAGTGTTCTCTATCTTGTCATTCTAAAGTTAAGAGTGAATTTATTCCAGAAGATGATAAGACGTTTTATTTATTTGCAATATCCCCTTTATCGGTTAGACAGCCGAGAGCCCTGAAGGATCAATATACCTCGGAGGACGAGGATATGAAGATGTGACAGAGGTGCGGTGATGTAGTGGAAGGTGTGAAGGTGATTGACAGGTGGGATTAGAGCAAGCAAGGGCTGGTGTATTTCCTCTCCCTCGCCCATATCTCCACCCCCCAACCTGTCCTTACCCTCCTCCCCCCTTCCTTGTCCCACCTGCCATATTAGATCCTCCCCGGCCCTCACACCTTCTATAGGGCTCTTCTGAATAAGCCATTTTATGAATGAAATGAAGGATGTGTTGTTTGTCTGCTAAATCCTACTCGCACTATCACTAGATATGATGAAAAGAGTTTTATTCAGAAGAAATGAATTATTCATGACCCTTCATTTGATCTAATTTAAATTCTAAATCCTATATTTTACAATATTCGGAAATATATTTGAAGATGTTCAGCCATCTATACAAATATAGTGATAAATATATATCCTCATAAAATAAGAAGGAACGTCTAGACTATTAAATAAATAGATAAATATGTGAATGAAAACAAGTTTCAATTCTTTGATAGGATTATATAACGGAGGTATTTAACCAATATGATTTCCAAGAACAAGGCTGTTTAAAAACAAAAAAATAATTATTTATTATGATAAATATTTTCATATGAATTTTAAATCTGCGAAAAAACAATAAATATTCAATAATTACTATAGGTAACTATTAAAATTATTGTAATGTGGGTTGTGGTTTTAAAATTTATTTATTGATAGAGATTAATTTCGTAATATTGTTTACTTAGAACCCTAATGATGGAAAAGTTCTCCAAAACGTTAGTTTGAGAATGTTTTATTAGTGAAAAGACTAATAACGGAGTATATTTTTCACTATTTAATCTTTTGCAATCGACTAATGCTGTTATGAGATGATCGATCTTAGATCAACTCTTGATTGAATGAAACTGATGAAAATGAAAATAAAACATCGATCAATACATAATTAAAATACCGAAACCCAAATATAATGAATTGCATATGATTGATTTCAGTAGTAAAATAATATAACGAAATAAAATTAAGTATTCTAATTAATAGAAAACGAAAAATAATAACCATTTAAAAAAAAAAAAACTCACGTGGCTATGAAACAAAAAAGTAACTATTGTACAATTAAAATACATTTATATCTTTTTATTTGTTCATGATGATCGGACACGCCCTCTGACAAACCACACATATTTGACTTTCTCTTCTTTCTCTGTCTCACCAAGCAATAGAGATACCGATTGCATATGGCCATCTCTTATTTGGCGTATATTCTGTCAGCACTTTACCAGCCGAGGTGCTTGATGATAAAGCCTCTTTTTATCCTTCTGAAAAGTAATGAGCTGTTACCGGATCGCCACGGTGGCCGGGTGCTCTCCCCCCTAGCTCACTCATTTTGTTTTTATCGATTACCCCTTTTTCAATACTTCTAGCACACGAGGATAAGGTACAAGCGGACGTATTCCGAAAGGAGAGGGAAGCTCCAGATTCATTCCGTGGATCCATCACGAAGTAGAAGTCAACTCAACCAAGTGATATTCGCACCAGAGTCACTAAATACGATAATGTTACAATTTACGCTTAGACTCTACTCCAGGACAAACATAACTTTTTCTCCCAGGTTCTCGCCATTATTCTTGGTACCAAGGGCCACCCCTACGGCAAAAACCATCAAGCGTTTCCCTCGTCTTCATGGAGATCCTTCGAACCACAAGTGAATGTTAGATCTGGTCCTGTTATCCGTTTTAAGATTATTATTTTTTAATAACGGTTTTTATGTAAAGTCCATCTCCTTCTGCAATTGACTTAAGTCGCTCTAAGTTCGTGAAAGTAAGCCTCATTTTTTTGACTTCAACTTATCGACAAATGTATCTTCCATGTTAGCACTAGGCATACCAGTATACTATTTCATAGTAATGCCTCACAAATACGGCAGCACAAATGTCTTTCCTTCGTTTGGTCAACTTCAGAAATATTGAAGCATTTACTATATAAAATGTTTTTGCAGTGAAAGCATACTAGGTTTTTCAACCCCTTTTTAAAATGGTACCATTAAAATTATTAAATATTATGTCGTCGGCATCATGTTAAAGTAGCGTATGAGCAACGTAGGGCAGATTAACATGTTACTGTAACATGTTTCCGAAAATTTATAGTCAAAAAAGAAAATAGAAAGTGGCGCAAATATAATATAATTTTAACAGATTCGATGGATGGAAAACAGTAAGTAATTGTTTTTAATTAATCTAAACCTAATTTTTACTTTCAATTCAATATATATATATATATATAATATTAATGCTTACATTTAATTAATAAAGTAGTTAGAACAAATAAATAGGATTTTAAATAGGATTAGGTGTGAATATCTCCTAAACAAAACATTTGCGGAGATACCTTCAGAGAATTTTTTTTTCTTGTTTTGAGGTCCTTTGTCCATTTTTTCAGTTTGGTGTATACAATCCAGTTCATTACTCTGTGTATATAACCACTGTATATAATAAAAAGGGATCGAAGCTGAAGATTTAATCATAGATTTAAATGTGTAAGGTAGATTTAAAATACCAAATAACATTCATGTTCTTCCAAAAATAACGATAAAAATAAAATAAAATAAATTTACAATAAAGGTAGTTTAGCTTAAAATTAAAAGAAACGAATTTTATAGTTATATTTAATTCATTCTCTAAAATAATATTATATTTATCTATACTTAAGGTTTAAAACCTTACTTTTATAAGTTATTCACTTTTTTTAATAAATCTTGAAAGCAAATTTTTCTTGTTTGTTTGGATTTTTTTTTCAGCTTCAAATTTCTTTTGCCCTTGAGGCAAGTTGGTTCCTGGAAGTGAGTTAAGCTAGCCGAGATCAGTTACAAAGTATAAAGCCAACAAAGGAAATTTCTCTTAGGAAAAAAGGCAGAATTTTGTATCATGTCTTAAAGAAACCCTTAACAACGCTTATTCAACAGTTACAAATAATTGGCACGGTGATATTTCTTTATTGATATAATATTTATTGATAATAATTATAACAAAACATATTTGAAAAGTACTTGTTGTGAGATATGCTTTATTGTTATATATATGATACATGCAGTTAATTAGGTTGGAAAAAAGTATAAATATAACCCGTTGGATGCAAAAGTGGTATTATTACTATTATTACTAGCAGGTAAGCAGTTATTCTTTGTTTAGTAACACATATTATTATTCTATATTTACCTTTGTAAAATTTCCTTAAAATGTTGAATATCACATAAATTTTGTTCTTGAGTACACTGATTAGGCATAAAACTGTTCATATGATTTTAATTTTCTACTATTTTTTACAGAAAAAAGAGAAGCACTGTGAACATGTCAACTTTTATAAAGTAAAATTAGATGATATCATTATACATATTTTTTTTCCCATTTTACCCATTTTTTGAAAATGAAAACAGCGTGGAATGGATGCCACATACGAATATGTGTGGAGCAAGAGTTTCTCCCTCTTTAGTGCTAATTTTTTTTTTCTCCTCTTTTTTATAAATTTAGGCTTTACGTGATTTTCTCGGGCCATATATATATATATTATTTTTTAATATATATATATATATATATATATATATATATATATATATATTACTTTTTAATATATATATATTAAAAAAATATTAAACATATGTAATTACCAAATGATTTATATTAACCTAGACTAAATTCTTTTCAAGTGCAAATATAATTTGCCTTTATTAAAACAAGTGCTTTAATTTTAAGCGGACCTAAACTATGCTATGTTCTATTTTGATTTTTTAAAAACTTGGATTATTAGCGATTTTTTACTACCCTACTTACAACTACTCTACTTCACAATACCTATTGTGGTTCACCTATCAGTAGACCACCTTAAAATAGTTTTAAAAAAGACAATTATTACATGTTTCATCTTCCTTGCCTTTTAGGCTACATGGCGGGGGAATTATTCCGAGTTAAAAGTCCCACCGGGCACTGGGATTTGAACTCATAATTTTTTTTCTATCGCACACTTCGGCTTTAAGGTTTTCCGGACTGCCCAAATGCGTTAGCCTGCTCAGCCACGCCGTCCAAGACAAATTTTACAAGTGTTTGAAGAGAATTTATCGGGTTTAATATTAATCAATCAATTACAACTTACCGAAGTTGAATATTGTAGTTTTTAATAATTCATCCTTTTCCAACACAAAGTGACACTTAAAAGAACAAAAATACTTAAATATTCTATAATAATTATTATGTGGAATTTGACCATAGCCTATATGAAACTTTTAAGAACTTGAGATTTAATATCACCTATTTAAATATTTTCAATTATATTTTTCATTAGATAATTTTAGACTTTTTTTATGTTCTTATGAGTCAGGATTTTCATTATCATTGACAGAATCTTTTTTTATTTAAAACCTTATTTGTAGAGAAGCTTTTGGTGTTTATGCACCATATTCATCTCTATAATTATAATACTCCAATTATTATAAATTAACAGTCAATTAATAACATTAACAATATGTGCGAAAGCTTCTCTACAAATAAAGTTTTAAAACAACAAAGAGACTGTCAATGGTAAAAAAATCCTGAACTTATATATTTTTTTAATTTTGTGATCATACGATAGAAATCGTGCTCGAATACATGGATTAATAATCATTCTTGTATTTCTATTACAGAGTGTTAATATTTCTGTTTAGTAATCGCTGATTGATTAATTTTTAATAAATTAACATTACCTTTACTAACTTCAAGAAGTTGAAATGGAAAAAGTATCAGTAACTATTTAAATAATTTAATTTTTAAGTTTTCTGCCCTCCGTGATTTTATGGAAGTGGAATATATTTGCCTGGGACACCCCCAACCCCCGCCCAAGTAGCACATTATGCATTCGTCGCCATTCCCTTGTCGATCCATCTTTCTCTGAAGTGAATATTTTATGCACTACTTTACATTTTTGAAAACCTCAAGAAGATGTTTGGCCCCTTAGTGTGCGGAACTTTCAAGTAAGTTAAAAAAAAAAAATCCAATTTTTATTTCAATAAAATATTTTAAGGATTTTATCTACCATTGTATTGTATAAAGGACTATCTCTAATTATGTCTGAGTTTATTTATTTTTTGACTTTCTTGTAAGTTGAAAAATGAATTAATATTTAAAAATATAAATTCAAGGTGATTCCCTTTCGCTTGTCGGTTTTAATTTGAAATATATGGTTATCTGCAAAATCGGTGATAATTTTGTTGAAGTGAAGTCATTTGTACATGTAAAGATTAGGTATTTACAGTCTTCGAAAACTAAAATATAAAATAATTCGTTGGATATAAAATAACTATAAAATATAAAATTTTATATCCAATGAATTATTTATTATGACATTGATGTTTGTTTTGATCTATTCAAAGAGCTTTGAAAGAAATGTCGCATTATATGAATTTATAGGATCGAAAAAAATGTATTGAGATGTCTCCAGAAAAGTATACTTAATAAGAAAAAAAAATCTGAAAGAAAACTTTAAATAAGTTAAACGAAAGCGGAAGAAAAAGAAGCCGCAATTACTGAAACCAAATAACTGTGAAGGTTTCAGTTCAATGCTCCCTAATTAAGAGAAGAGATATTTTCATCAAGGAAGGGGTAATTATTTCTTGTAATTTTATTAATTATGCTCTGATATTGCACCAGATTTTCTTTTTTTTTAATAAAAAAAAAATTATATAATTTTTACCGAGTTTATATTGAGAGTGGTTTCTGATATATTTTTTATAAAAAAAAGATTTGTTTTTAGGATTAAATTCTATCTGCAAATAATGACCAAGTTCATTAATTTTGCGCATTGGTCTGGCAAGAACTACAAAACGGGGCTGTATATAAGGGGCTGGGGTAGCCGTACGGGCTAAGGCGCTTGCACTAGGTAATCAAAGTTGAACAATGTCGAGCGTGGTTAATCCTTGGATGGGTGACAGTTAGTGTTGCCCAAATGCGAGACCGAGACTAGTCTTGGTCTTGCAAACTCAGTCTTGGTCCAGGTCTTGGTCTTGCGCAAGTCTGAACGAAAAATTAGAAGAGTTAAATGCAAAAGTATGTTATTTACAACAATTCTTTACATTTAGTAACTGAAATTGTCAAGTATTAGTACCTATTTTGCCTCAATTTTTATTCAAACAATCATTTTTTTTACCAGTCTTGGTCTTGGTCTTGCAACAGATAGGCGGTGTTGGTCTTGGTTTTGCAAAGTGCAAGACCAAGACCGATTTTGGGCAACACTAGTGACAGTTCCCCATGGAAAGCCATACTGCCCGAGTCTCTCTCCCCTCCTCCCCCCCCCGGGCATGTGAGGATCATCAGGCAATTGGAGGCAACTCACACCGACCGGGTGTAGGACTGATGACCCTACCCCGTGTACTTAAATCGGGGTTTGCCAGGATGTTAGTAGTCTCCCTGAGGTTCAGTCCACGTACCGTCTGTTTCGGGGAAAGATATATAGGTCCTCGTGCGTCTGCTGACTCCGAGCAGAGATAATCCATGGATCTAGACCGATTTGTCACTGTGCTTGAACCCGAGTGAGTCGGTGGTAAGGACACTGCCAGATTGGCCCCAAAGGGTTAGGTTATGGAGCTACAGATGGCCATCCGCTGAACCATGGAGACCATGGTTCGTGGCAACGTGAGATTGGGTGAACCCCTCCAGGCTTCCTAAACTCCCGCAAGCAGCATGCGTCTGTAAGGAGACCACATTTCGCGGCCGAAGATCTTCGTGGTCTGTAGTGCCAAACAAAAACAAAAACTATATAATATATATATATATACGTATAGTAGCGAACATCTTTATCATTTCTAAAACTAACGAAATATATTTCTACAGAAAAAGTGAAAACACCACGTGAAATGATTGTAATAATTTGATATAGTTTACTAATATTAAATTAACACATTCTCAAATTAAGATTTTTTATTTGTTTATTTAGAAATATAACAATCTGTCACGTGAACAATAATTATAATGATATATGAACACATTCACACCATATATACAGAATATATAAAATTAACGAAAGTAAAATAATAACTAAATAATAATCAAAAACTAAATTAAAATTAAAAAGTAATTAACAGCGATATGGGCTATAACTAGTTATAACATGAGGTTAATGCAACGTAACTAATAGTTTCATTCATTTTTTTACTACCAAAAAATAGATTAATCAAAACAATAGTAATGATATTATATCGATAAATGAATTTTTATTTTCAAATAATAGTAATTATAATGCATAAAATAATATTAATTATTATTTTTAGATTTTCAAACATTCATAAATATATACGTATAATAAAGGAATTGTAAAACATTTGAATTGAAACTGGTATATCTGCAGCATGCTATGTAAAAACAAGATGACGATTTAAAAAAAATACAACATAAATTACTACTTTCAAAGTGAGCATTCATACTTTCAATTAATTATTAAAATAAATATGTAACATTTAATACACAACTGTTCGATCTTCAGCAGGCAAAAGTAAAACAGTATTCAAGGCTATGGCCGCTAAAGATTATGTTATATATTGGCACAAGTAACGTCAGGCGGGCACACTGGTGCTCTCGAGCTCTGATTTGGGAACTCCTGGGTTAAGGTACAATATTTTGCGAGTAAATAGAAAAGGTTTTAGGACTGGTGACATCGAAAAGGAATACCACAAGGACTATGTTTGGGTCTCACAACGTTATGTTCTTATGTATATTGTGCATATTTTTTTAATCATTAAATTGTCGCATATTTCGTTTCTGAAATGACTGATTCAATTATTTTTCTTCTCCTTCCAATAATTATTAAACCACATCTGTCACCTCTGCGCTGGCTATGCTCGCCATATTGTATGTATCTACACATTTTACAAAAGAAAAATTACACACATATCATCACATGAAACTGGTACCAGAGAGAATAACAGAAAAGTCATTTTTGCAGTCACTATGCTAGAGATAAATGCCTTCGGCCGAGATCTGTGAACTTTGACATCAAATCTCTGAAAAGAAATCTGTAGCATTTAAGATGGGATATTAAATTGAATTATATATAGGCAGTCGGGAAGAACTTTTTATTTGGGCCCTTAGGACATATAATAAATATGTCAACGAAGTCAAATTTCAACATGATAATAAACCTTATGGCAATATTAATTTTTTATATTTTGACACCCATGGCATGAAAAAAGATTCATGTTATGAATATTATTTCTTCCAAGTAAAAAGTTTTAAAGGGATTGGTGTTGGGAAATTCGTTTGGTAAAAGAAAGAAGGTTCTAGGGAGATGCCATTGATGGCATTCCTTCGGCTGTCAAAGGAACTAGGTCAACCTCACCCTATTCAAGTCCTATGGAGAATTATCAAAGATTCTTGCTGGAATAAGTGTGGTTACTTTAATCGGTTACAGATATACAGTTAATTGTTTACAACATATTTTTGTCGAAATTTACAACTGTATTTTTTTTAAAACTTATTTATTGAGAAATATGACAATATGCCTCAAGGACATTTATATTGGCGTTAAATAAAAATACAAGGAGTATATTCGAATTGATAAAATAATATGTAAAACATGAAGAGAAACTACCCACTAGTAGCACTCAAAATATAGTTAAATTTCTGTAATTTTCTTTATTCTGTAATGTTACCTATCACAATCTAAAATCTATTTACAAACTAAATGATCCTTATTATATCATCGGCGAAACAACGCCGCAATTGTAAAATTTTAGGAAATGTTAAGTGTGTTAAATTGTCAAAAAACTTGTTTAGTCGAATCGATATCATTGTATAGTACTAGCGAAATTCAAATGGATTTGAAGGATTTTCCACTGATACAATCAATTTTTATTAAGTTATGTTGACTATATATAGCAGTTTGTACGTCATCATTCCACTGATCGAGAATTACAAAACGTAAAACATCTAATGATGACTATATACGCATATTAATACAGTTTTATAATGTTGTAATTTAAATTCATAATAGATTTACAACGCATCGTTGTTATTGAAAGCAATGGAGATTAAATAAAAGCACTTTAGCTGCAAATTATTTATGAATCTATACAGGTTATGAATTTGATGATAAGAAGAATTGAGCATAAGATATGCTGCAAAGTGTGTAATGTTTTCATTATTCGGATGTCCACTCTCTGAGAATGATTGTAGAGAAGGCATGGGATAGAGGTAAAGCAGTATACCTAGCTTTTCTAGATTTGCGGGCGGCTTTCGACAATGTTCCTAGAGAGGAAATATGGGATACATTGCAACACAGGAGAATCCCACAAAATCTTAATAGTGCAATTAAGTCGGTATACCAAGACCCTAAGGGAGTAATAAGGCTAGCCGGCACTGAGTCTAGGCCATTCCATTTCTTTAGGGGAGTTAAACAGGGCGATAGCCTGAGCCCCCTGCTGTTCATAATTTTCATGGATGCCATTTGGAAATTTTCTAAAAGGAAGACACCCACAGCATTGGTGGGATACTGGAATATGACCCCAGTGTTGACACAGGCATTGTTGTACGCAGACGATGTGGTATTGGTTGCGAATACTGCTGAATCGCTCCTGCCCAGATAAATATATAAATTATAAGTCTGTTTTAAGCACTTGATGGGTAACACATTTATTGATAATGTCTGTTACAAATGGTATCTTAACATGCATATTAATACTATAAATATATATATTGACTACAAGAGTTTATTCCAGGTCTCCTGGCAAGAATGTAACTGCAAGAATGAGTACTACAGAGAACGATGGGGATAATAAATGCAGGAATAGAAAGGAGGTGAAGGGAAGTCTGAAGAGGGCTCCAAAGGAAGTTATCAATAATTGGTATTCTTAAGATGAGGTATGTTACAAAGGGCTGGAGCTATTAACTCTTGAAAATTGATATCCTTATCGTTTAGTATTGGTATGAGGTCTTTGAGAAATAGACCTTTTTTTGAAATTCGTTATTGTTTCTTAAGTCTTGT